GTAGTCAAAAATATATTATGAAAAGTAGATATTTTGATACAGAATTCAGTTTATTTCTCACAGTGACAATACATATCATTTGTTATTTTAGTACAGATTTGCTAATATAATATATTTGTTTGCTTCAGAAGAACTGAAGTTATCCTGACAGTTTAACCCTTCTAAGATTTTAAACAACTGCACATTGCTGAACAAGAAAAAACCACCATACTTTCATTTATTGTACAAAAGAGGTGCTTTTAAAATGGAAAATATCTGATCAGCACAAATAGTTGATACACAGAAAAAGAAACTGAAAAGTGAAGGAGCTCCGTACAAAAATGCTAAGTAGTTCAGAAGTTTTAAAGACAAAGCTCCCTCTGAGCCCTGCCTGCCCTGGGCATTATGTGCCATCTTTTATCTGGACAAGCTTTCCTAGAATATTCTAAAATCATATAGCCTGCATGTCTCCAACTTTGGTTTCTTAACACACATTTCTAAGTTGTTTCACTTCAATGTGTTGCTTTGCTTATTACTTAATCCAATCACTGTAAAAGTAGAAATTTGACCACTGTCTTTAATGGCTTTAGTTTCCCACTATCTTTTTCAGCTTCTCTGGTTGCGCCTTTGAGGCTTACTTTTGAGGCCAGTCTTTTGGAAGTTCTGAGTTTGGCCACTCTTTTCTTACTTTACCAGAACTCCTCATGGCATCTTGTGTAAACAGATTGTGATGTTCTCTTTATCTATGTGTCTGAAAGGGTTAATGATATCCTTTTATCCTTCTCAATGGACTAATTCAGCACTGGGGTACCTTTCTAAGTTGGTTCCTTGGGAAGTGGTTCATCTTCTGTGATTACGTTGTTTTACAGTGGTGCTATAATTTGTAGGCGGTATGGACTCAGCAGACTAGCTTTCAACTGTGTTGTGACCTGCCCTGAAGAATGCTCATATCCAAGGATACTTACTGTCTTGTTATCATATGGCATTCTGATTGTTCCTTTAACTCAAGACAACCACTAATAGATCCTGACCACTATTTTGTTTTTTATCTGTGATGACTGTCTGCATTCATGGCCTAGACTTCTTTTTTTATTCTTTATTTTTTATTACAAGTGAGCCACCACAGCCACTTGTCATTTACATAGGTGCTATGGATCCGAACTTGGGTCCTCTTGCTTTTCTAGCAAGCACTTTAACCACTGAGACATCTCCCCAACCCCAGCCTAGACTTCTTATCACGAGAAACTGGTTCTTGAATACTCCAAACTTACAAATTACCCTATCTTTGTTTCAACTACTCTTTCCCTAAACCTGGTGATTCTTCCTTCATAGTCATATTCTTTTTATTGTGTCAAAATACCTAACACGAGATCTGCCTCCTTACCCTCATCCTTAAGTTTTGATAAATGGTTTCACTGTTTCACTATCTCTTTGATGACCAAATCCTGTCTCTGCAATCATCCCTGACTCTTAATCATCTTCTCGCTCCCTCCTTGGCAGTTCTGAAGCAGTCATCATTTTGTTAACCCAAGTACCAGTTTATCTGATTCCCCCACATTTAGTCTGCCCCTACTCATTTGGCAAAACTTCCAAAACATATTTTGGGAGCTTGTTTCAATTTTTTCAATTATTTCTAGAACATATTACTTAACAGGCTCTTCCTGGTTTAACTCTTGGCTTCCTATTGACAACTCTCTTCTTATTGTATATGTAAGCCAAATTAAACTAATTAAACTGCAGGAAGTGCTTGCCTCTGATGAGTATCTCCCTCATTTGTATAGCTTCAGGCCAACTTTTACCCTCAGAATGTTTACTTCTATTTATGATATTTTCCCCTTATTTCTAGAATTCTTCCAACATGTGTAACACTATAGGTAATACATGTATGTGTAAGACCTAGTCACTATACTGAACAAAACTACAAACTGGTTTGAGAATCAAAAATACAAAACAAAAATTGAGTAACAATAAAATCACAACCTTCATATCTCTTTCTACTCCTCTTATTTCAACTTTGATAAAAATTTTTACATTTATAATTGGACTCCCATATTCTGATTTAAAAAGCTTAAATAAAAATTTTAAAGTATCACCAAATTCTCTTTTAAAATAAAATTTATTGTAAAAAACTTGCAAATAAATAAAAGCATTACACATCAAAATTAACCAAACCCAAAGTCTATACAACTTAATGAACTTATATCCAGTTAGAATTGGCATTTGAAATGGAAGTTGTAAGCCGGGCGTTGGTGGTGCATGCCTTTAATCCCAGCACTTGGGAGGCAGAGGCAGGCGGATCTCTGTGAATTCGAGACCAGCCTGGTCTACTAGAGTTAGTTCCAGGGCAGGCTCCAAAGCTACAGAGAAATCCTGTCTCAAAAAACCAAAATAAATAAATAAATAAATAAATAAATAAATAAATAATAAAAAAATAAAAAAGAAAAAAAAGAAATGGAAGTTGTGACACATCACATTAAATTTTATATTTTTAGTAATGAATATATTTTATGCATGTATCCACCACCAAAACAAAAAAATCAGAATTAGCACTAGAAAAACAATTAGTTTTATATCCTTTTTCATAACTCCCCACCCTTCCCTGCATTCATTCCTTTCTCATCTTAATTATATTTAGCTTTACTACTTTTCTTTTCTTGTTATACTGTGTCCAATGTACATTTGTGTACATATATACATTTATTATTGGCTAGAGTCTACCTACGAGAAAGAAGATGCAGTTTATTCCTTTCCCAGATTGTGTGATATCACTTAATATTGTGCACATTTATCCACTGTCCTGCACATTCTAACTTCATTTTTCTTTAGAAATTAGTGCTAATATATATAATTTTCATTACCCATTCAACTGTTGATGAACAACAGGGCTGATTCCACTTCTTTGTTATGGTTAAGAAAGCAACAATAAACAAGGGGTTGAAACTTCTCTATGGTAAGAAACAG